ACCACTTGGGTACAATCCATGGTGTCCACATGCCCTGTCCACTAGGTTTCTCCTGATATTTTATGGGATGGCTTATATATATATATATATGATGTCCCAATTAGGGTGGACCTCGTTAGCCATGACAATCAAGAGGTACAATGGACAAGATTTGAGTTCTTTCGTCTTTAATTATATCCAATATCGTTTAGACACTACAATACAAGAAATAAGTGTTTTCGTTACTTGGGTTCCATCCCTTATGCACATATGCCCTATCCTAATAAGTTTTTCCCAATATTTGATGGGATAATTTTGTATATATAGCATGTTTGGTATAAAATATCATGCAAGGTAGGCAAGATTGATGGGTACAGACATAGAAGATTTTTAACAATTTTTTTTTTTTTTTTTAAAACCGAATATTCTCAAGTGCACTAAAAAAAAAAAGATCGTGTTTATTAATAGTATATTTTGCTATATTTGTCAAATACGTGTGTAAGAACATTATTTTACTTGTCGATTTGCCGGCAAACATGCATATTGGAGAAGATTGGAATTTTCCCATTTGAGGTCACTTCAAAGATAAAGTTTGCTTTGATATTCCATTGCAAATGGACATTGAATATTCCTAGTTTATATCATTGTTAATGAATTTTGATGTAACAAAGACCACTCTTTTATGGTTCCTTTAAATTAATTAATTTTCAACCCATTATTTCTTTTCAATCAATTCCAATAAGGGCGAATTCGTGTCTCCATCCTATTGGACACTGGCTTATCTAAAATCATTTAGTGTGACTAGGTTGGTGAATTCCTTGTCAACATAATTGATGGATTTTGCTTAGATACATCACCTTGAACGTATATTTTAGGAATTTTATTTTGAATATATATATAGAATAATGTTATATATAATCACGGGTGATTAGCATGGTGACATTGAGCTTCCCTCACAGTATAATTAATTTTGTGCATTTCAATTTTACTGGACAATAAATATTTACCTCATTGTCACCTAAATTGGTACATAGCATTACACATTTAGACAACATTTTTGTCATCGATAGACGTTCACGTTGGAATTTACCCGTACATGTTTTGTTGTTTTGTTTTGTTTTGTTTTTTTTTTTTAAATAATAATAATAATAAAGGTTAAACCCCAACCTTGAGGGACCCCACCGTCCTACACCTAGAGCTTTATGAGGGAGATAAATCGCGGGATGTGCCTCAACAGGTCAGGGAACAAGAGCTGTCTGTACATTGCGCCTACAAGGAGTCAAATTTCATGTTTCAGGAATCGAACCCGTACACTGCGGCTGCCAACAAGGCGTGAGATAACCTCACTCTTATCCTTTACACTACTGAACTATGATCCGGGGGGCAAAAATAAAAAAATAAAAAACGTACGTGTTTTGTTAATTGAACTTGAAGTATATTTTCAATGTCAAGTTAATTTCAAATTCTTGATTTTTGACAAATGGAGCCCACGTCAGTATGCTCACATGGATCTAATTTAAAGGGAAGAAAATAGGAAATCATGTAGGATTGGTATGCATGCTTCCCTTCTGGGTTGAAACAGTTTAAAAGAACGTCGACTTGTTTGATTCTCATTTTTATTTTTTTAAAACTTATTTTTAATTAGAAATTTTTTTTAAATAAAATAATTTTATAAGAAAATTCAAATTATTTTTATATTTTTTAATCATGCATTTTTCCAAAAAATCACTATAAAAATCTATTCTCCCAGAAAATGAAGTTCAAACATACCCTCACCTCCAATAGTGATCACATCAAGCATTTGGATCAATGTATTCAGTAAAGCAAAAAAAGAACAATAATAATAATAATAATAATTCGCATCGATCGACACATGACAATCCACTAAACTTTTGTACCAAGGGATCTGTATGCAATAATTAAATAATACTTTAGAGTCTTCTCATGCGTTAAACTAAACCAACTTGACAGCAAAAGATGTGTATATATACTCGGAATCCAGACCACATTTGATGTAAATTTTCATATTATATAAACTTTTTTACATGAAGAAAAGACAAAGGCTTCTGTATTTGACTTTATTAGTAGACTAAGAGCCTATTTGAGAGTGATTTTGAGAATTGTTTTTTTGACCGTTATGAGAAAAATAAGATTTACCTGTGAGAAAAGAAGTCAAATATGACAGTTGAAATAGTAAAATAACGATCAAAAAATCAATTTTTTGGTCAAAAAATCACTCCCAATCAGACAGTAATTATCATATTCCCTTGAGAACGGCCCGGTGGAATTTGAAAACTAGTAAGAATTGTACTCAACTTGGTATTATATTTAATAAAAACTTCCATGAAATGAAACGAAAGTACCTTAATTCAAGATGCTTAGATTGTACTTAAAGTAAGGTGTTTCTCTATTTTCTTCATCGATTTCAAGTTACGAAAGAAGCATGGAAGAAAATGAATGATTGATTTTAGTATGAAACATCATATGATGATATTCATTTGGACTAATTATACATATCTACATCTTGTATTACTATATTGTATACAATAATGATGTGTTTGATTAGATATATTGAATGATATTAAATAATTTTTATATATAAAAGAAGATTGAAATATTTATTAACATAATTTTAATTTTTCCCTTGTTTATTTAATACCGTATAATTAATGTAATGAAATGACATAAATGTCATATCCTTATCATATATTTGAAGTACAACATTGTAATAATTAAACCGATATGGAAGAGTTGTTCAAGTTTCAATGCACACCGGGCTTATAAAATAAGTTAATTTTGCTTATTTGGGAGAGAAGTTGGATTCTGCTGTCTCTAATTAAAAAAGTATTATCAAAGTGGGCCAAAATTTTTTAAATTAGTCCTACTTAATTCAATCAATCAAGAATAATTATTTTTTCATAATTTAGTAAACGATATTATTGACTTGCATCGATCTTGACCAAGATCTAACCCCATAGATCTCATGCTACATAAATTAATAGGAATTGTTTAATCAATCTTGTGGTGGAGACAATCTATGACCATTTGTATATTGCTTCTTAAAACTGATTTTATTTAAGAATTTCAGGAAATATAGATTCTTAGGTGCTGTCTGGTAGCGATTTTTTGTTGATTTTGAGCAATTATCATATTGTTACCCACTGGTATATGGGACTCAAGTTGATAGCAATGTTTGAAGATTTAGCAGTGAAATAAATAAATTATCTATTTATCATAAACAATGATTTAACTGTTTAGAGTAAAATGGTTATTCTACCCTAAATTGGTCCAACATCGCGGCTGCCATCTCTGATTTCTGTCATAAATGCCTGTCAAACTGAAAAGCAACGGTCACAATTTCTCTATAAATTAAAATGAGAATTTCTACTAGATAGACACTTAATTTCTACGATGATAGAATTAGTATTTTAAAAACTTTGCTTAACCATCATCAAGGCGCGAATCTTAGACTTGCCATTTAATCTTGTTTTACCCTTTTTAAAACACTAGACAGAGTCGTAAATCCATACTCATCCCGGATTAATTTAGCATAGAAACTATGTTGGTATGTTACATCTATCAAATGTTTATAATCAAGAAAAAGAGACGGGTGCATGTGTCGAGGTTTATCACGAATTAGCGATAAAGGCTGGATAAACGTTGTGTTAGAGACGGATTCAATTGAGACCATTTACTTAGTAAAAGAAGTAGATATATAACAAAATTTTAATAGAGATTTAGTTGAAGATTGTCGCTTCTTAATCCCAAAGCTCAACAATGAGATACTCCATATATTAAGACAGGGAATAGTAGCACAGATATATTATCTTGGATATACGCTTTTCATTGAAATTCTTTCAAATTCTATTATCATCTCCTACTTACGAAAAAATGACTGGAGTGTCGAAACAAAAATAAAGTGTAACCGACTCTATCAATTCTTTTATTTATTTATGTTTAATTTAATTTAATGTACTAAATATACTGTTGGTAATTTTGTTAATATCATTTGTTTGAAATTTGACGATCCAAGTGCTTAAAGGATAATTTATGTAAATAATTCTTGAAAATTAGACAGCATTTTGACGCAAAATTAACTCCAATTCATACGTTAGTTGGTGGCAATAGGGTTTATTATCTATTATGTTTGTATTGATATGAATTAATAGAATATTAGGGCTAATGCGGACATGTTAAAGGACAAATTTAATTACATGTGTCCCTTCATTAGAGTGATAAAAGTGCGAGAAAATTAAGAGAAATCATGCAAATTCTAATCTCATATCCATTACAAAATCTCAAAATCGTGGAATAAGAAATCAATTACAATCTTCCATTTCCTCAACTTCGTTATTGGAAGATTCTCTCCTCCATCGACTACCACCTCATCGAACCGCCTACATAGTCCAATCATTAACAAAACCCAACCCAATTCTATACATTTTCAAGTAGTTCACACTTCCAGAATTTCTCTCTTCCATGTCATCTATATGTACACTATTATGTACATAATGATTTACAAATAACATTCATTTTACAAACCCAAATCTAAGATGGTGATACCAAGGAGCATTGAGCATGAATTGACTTTGAAAGGACAAAGATACAGTTAAAAAACTTACTGATAAAAGGAAATGAACTACTTCCCGCAAAAATCTTGATTAAAAATGCTGTATTTTGACCCAAATTCTATTTTGTATTGGAGTTTTGGTTGAAATGGTCTTGAAGATATCAAAATTATAAATTGTGAAGAAAAATCGGTGCATTTTCGCTAGCCCGTTAACTTGTTTCTCGAGCGGCAGAGCTATCGTTTGCCTATCTTAGCTTATTGATTATGGTGAATTTCTCCTCATCCACCTATAGTTTTTTTTCTATCTTGAATTTTCACATAAATTTTGGTGTTCTTGTTGTAGTTTTGTTTATTTAATTATTGTCATTATCTTGTGATTAACTAGCGTTCCAAAATAAGGCATTTCTTTAACAAAGGGAAGGATTGGAAGGTGGAGCCCGATGAAAAGAGACAGGAGAGAAAGAGTCTTTTTTGATGTAATTGAAAGAAACGAGATATAGGGCGAGTACTAGGTCCCCTTTGGCTGTGGGTCAATTAGGATACTCCATCTCGATGTATTACTGCCAGTTGTGTTCCATGAGTCTTTGACTCCTTCCAAACTCATATAGGAACCTGTCATCCCACCTCGTAAAGGGGTTGTGGATACATGGATGTCTGTCTCTGCCTCACCGTAAGGGTTTCTAGAGAGCAACTTAGTAGGCGATCGCGGAGTAACTGGGAGTCTGATTACACTTAAGGCCTGCCGAGGAGGGATGAAGGTTTCTTTTATCGGTCGATTTCCCTTTTGTTATAAGGCGTAGGCATAATTTTTCCCTAAACTATATTTGACTTGATTGCCTTGAAAGAGAAATTTGCATGCATTCAAAGGATACCAACAAAAGTGGAGTTCATGCCCTAGCATAGATTTGATAGATCACCACATTTCTATCTATTAAGTAGGATTTTCCTTTGCTTGCTAGGGCACTACCAAAGCCGGCAGTTGTTTGTAACTGGGCAGCCTCTCATTAATCTTTTGACGAGTCTCGTTGGTGAAAGGCCATCTTTCTTGATTCAAGACCAAATATAAATTTGACTACGCCTATGTCTCCACATCTCTTATCGTACATTAACCTAATAAATTTGTTTGGGATGCTTAGGCCTCTCCTTCTCCTGAACTTGAACGAACGAATAATTGATTCACCTAATACGTAGTCCCAATCTCACTTGGAACTTTGGAGTGGAGTTCCGAGCTAATGCAACTTTGTGGTCCCCGATTATGCCAACCCAAACCTTCACTTCGATTGCCCTCACTGCCCTTGGTCTCATTATATCAGAGCATGGTTAATTTCACATTACAATGATGAAATACAATATCAAGTTATTGGATCAAAACATGGGATTTACTCTATGGCAAATAAAGATGTGAAAAGTTCTCATGTAGATGGATTTGGAGGAAGTCTTGCTTGGTTTTGATAAGATGCCTTCAATATAAACGCAGGATGAAAAGCAACGTAAAGATCAAAAAGTCCAATCTCGAATTCATATACATCTATCAAATCAAATTTTTTAGGATCTTTTAAATGAAAAAGTATCGTTGCGCTGCGGTTGAAATTGGAGTAGCTTCATATGACAAAAAGCTTGACTTGTAAGTTACACTTGCAGTAGCACTTGTATTCTCACTGGAGTCCAAAGGTAAAATCATGGTCGATTTGGAAACACTGGAGGTTAAGTATGATGAGGATGACTTGGTGTTCATGTTGTTTTGTTCCTTACTACCATCATATGTGACTTTTAAAGATACTATTCTCTATATTCGAGGTACTTTTATTGTGGGTGAG